GGTTGTAGAGTCATTAATCTCTGTTACGTATCAGCTTATTATTAAGTCATAAGTACAGCAGTCAAAGTTTTTTTTTATTGTGACATCAGGGCGTGCTTTTATTAAGAGAGATCATAGAGTTCCAATCAATTAAAAATTAGTTCAAACGTAATAAAGGTTTTTTAACAGAATATAAATGCTACTAAGTTTACAATTTTTTATTATATAAATAAAAATAGACCATTCATATCTGAGTTCTAAAGTAGAAGTAACAGCATGTCTACTGTTCATAGATTCGGAGATTCGGTGAATACAACCATATATTAATTATATATAAGTGAAAATAGAGGTTGTAAAATACTTCACTAAGACGGGATTCAATAGCTCTACTAATTCAGCTGTCCAAGATTGATGTAAAACAAAATGATATAGAATCTTTCGAGAACACCAAAGTTAAGCTAGTACGCAATACTTTATTGTTTTACTTTGGATGTTATCGCAAATTCGTAAAGAATACTTAAGTAGATAAGCTATCCATATCAGGTAATAAAATTTACAGTTTCAAGTTCTTTGCAGTACGTATTTTTTTTCAGATTCACAACAATAGATTGGATTAAAGAAAGAGTTCTGTGGAATTTTTTTGTAGTCGTACTTCATTTTTTTACAAAATATATTCCATGTTTATTTAAATATATGATCAAATAGGTAGGTGACAGCTAAAAAAGGTAGGTCCCAAACATAGAGTTTCTGTGGTCCCAAGGTGTGTTTCTCATATTTTTCCTACTTCGCTGAAAAGGTTCTAATATATAGATACCTGTAATCATAGTTACACCATATCTATATACTAAAAGAAACAAATAAAATACCATATATGTATTTTTATTAGATTTTTTTTAATAACTTTAACTATAAATACGTTAATTAGAAAGGATTAATTAACGTTTCATTTTGATGCGAGTAGGAACCTTCTTATAAGAAGAAAGAACCTTCCTACGGCTCTTCCATATGTGAGCTGATCAGTCATTATTAGTCTCAGATAGGACGGACCTATGCTAATTGACCAATTATCTGTCAAGCTAACGATTTATCTATTAGCAGACCTGCTGATAGATAAATTGTTATATATCAGAGCTTCGGTTACGCGGTAGAGTCAACTGATCTAGTTTACAGGATTTACAAAAATCTCTATGATGCTTGACTTTCTTTGCCCGCGCAAGTTATTGCAAAAGAAATTAAATTCATATATTTTCGGTAGAATAATATAATTAAATAAATTAATAACTGAGCTAAATTAGACTCTGTAAAAGTTGACCGTGTTAAAGTTATACATAAGTCGATAGTTACTATAAGTGTGAGTCATTGAAAAGAAAAACAACATTCCGCTTTATCTGAACTACGTGAATCCCCCGTTTTAGTTGTGTGTGTTGTAAGTCGTGCGTGTTACACTGCTACACAATTGTAAACCTACTGCCGCCTATCATAATCAATTCTAAAACTGTAGTCTCGTGACTGTAGCGAATGAAGCCCTGTCATTGGTCTTTAGAGTTGACGTCATGCGTAAGAGCCAATAACCGAACGGCAAAGATATTTTTAGAACGCACATGTCGTATAGAGGGGATTAAGGAAAACTGTACAAGGCTGCCGCGTCCGGCGGCGCAATATTTCTTGCACAACATTTTCTGGACTCTCGTTCGCCAGACGCGTGTCGCGCTCTCTGAATTATCGGAGTAAAACTATCTCGTTCCCCGTATTTCATATAATTTTGTTTACTTTTAGTTTTTTTAAGCGCTGAAAGTTGCAATTTCCTTTTTATTTTAAATTATTTATTGTTTTAAGAATTAATTCCATCGCATCTACGACTGGAGCCGTTACAGTATTTGTTCGTAGCAAGGTAAGTTTTATGCAAAATTATTGTCAATTATAGGATAATGGCAGACAATTTTTTATTTAATATTTATTCGTTCAGAAATATTCTTTTGTGCTTATCATGAAATAAATATTGATGTAGAGTGATTTTGCCGCCTAGATAATACAAGTGCCTACGTACAATTATTGCACAATAATTTATTGTAAGTAATTTGTACTCTGGTAATAGCGTTCGTTATTAAGGTTTTTGTTCCCTCTTTCTTTGACCGGACAGTTATTATGTGTTCAACGTGATATTCTATGTGTTAAAAACAAGTTCTGACATGTTGAGACTTGCAATGAAGATCCGACCTTTGCACAGCGCACGTGCTAAGAGCATTTGCATCTTTATTGTTATATAAAATAAGACTATTTTTTGTATAATAGACGGTTGTGTATTTTAGAAAGTAGAAGACTTGCTTGTAGGTTGTGATTAGGGTGTACTTTGTGTTTTTAATTTATTTAACGTAGTACTTATAATATAATGAAAGATTTCCAATTGGAATTATAGGACGTAAGCTCTACATCCAAAAGTGAAGAATTTCTTGATTTCTTTTTGCAATTAAGGTCAGACAAACAGAATCAGATTATACATATATCGTGATGAAAAATACGTTTTGTATAAGAACAAATGAAAATCTAAGTAGGCAAATTTTTGAAAGTTCAAGTAGAGAGTGAATGACCTTGACATAAAAATACCGAGTTGCTAAAAGGAAGCGGATATTAGACGACTAGGTATGCGATTTCATCTCAAAGATATTTCAAAAGTGTAATAAATACTTTATAAATACATATTTTTTTATTCAAACTTCGAATGTCACGTGGAACTTCTTGGAAACTATCTTTTACTGGACTACTTAGTGCCAATGTGACCGAAAAGGTTTCTAGTTGAAATAATATTTTAATGATTTTTAAAAAGGTTAAATAATGAGTAATGTTATATTACATAAAACGCAAATATATAATCTATTCAGAATTTGATAAAACGCGATCGTCACTTATTGATAATCATTGTCGGAATTGATCGAGGTCATAGCCGTCCACGAACTGCCCACACGATAGATATCGTCAAACCTACATAACATAATGTATATATCTACACACCTATAAAATTAAGCATTTAACTCTAGAATAGGTGAATTTTGCTATAGGTACATTAAAAGCAGAATTTTTTAAGGAATATAAATTTGAATTTGAATTTTGAATCGTTTATAGAAATCTAGTAGGTACAAATTGATGGAAGGCCCAAACTTATTCTGGAAGGAGTTAACATTTTCATGTACTTTTTTTTTAAATAAATATTGAGATAACATTGTAAAAGTACACTTTCATGTAAAATGCACTCTGAAATTTTGCTATAAAAATTTGAACACGAGTCTTCTGTCATAATGAGATCTGCGGTATACGCATTTGTCTTAAGCGGTAGACATCGCTTCTAGAAATTTGTATAAAACTCGCACAACTACTGTCAAAACATAAAAGTTTCGTGCTAATTTTTTCGTAACCATTTTTATAATTTGTGGTTGTTCGTTTAAAAAAATACAAAATATTCAAATATGCTTTTGATTTGTTTCAGGCCAACAGTCGGGACAATTCGTTGGATTGCCGCCTAAAAAGCTAAGATTTCATTAGGAGCTCGAGAAGAGTTCGAACAAGTAAGTAATTACGTTCACCTTCTCCTTTTAACTTTTTGTGTTCTCAGGACCGGACCAAGACAGGAGAATATGAAACTTCATCGTCAATTTATATCACCATTTTTCAAATGATAAATTTGGATTCGAAATTTAAAATTATCTATGATCGCTACGCTAAAGCCGAATTCGATTAACAGTTCTCAATTTGCTACTATTTACAGTTCTCGATTTGCTATAGATTCAGCTACGGCGGAAAAATATATAAAATGCAAACTTTTTTCAATATTGGTTTTTGATCAAAAAGTATCTCTATATCAATTTTTGAACATTTTTCAGCGTTTTCGGTTTCATTAAAATGACGATACAAAATCATAGCCATCATATTTATGTTACATAGTGCAATTACTAATTCCTTTTCTCATCTCTTATTGGACAATTCATCCTGATTCTAACCATCCGTTTTTATGCACGCCATACTCATTCTTCTGTGTAAGGTTGCCCCTTGTTACTAACTAATCGATCAATATGAATCTTATATATTTTTAATGCTAGGACAAAGTGAAGATCTTAAAAAATATACCTATATACATTCGAGTATTTATAAACCCACAAAATTGCCTATACATTTAAATGGCAATTAAATTATCATTATAATATACTTTCAAATAGATTAAGATTCTTTCCTATAAGTAGTTAAGATTTTTAGCACTTAGAAACTATTTAATTTAATTTATATTTTAATTAAGATATGTGGGTACTGTAACATAGTTTAATATAACTAATTTAGTTGTAATAAGTTGGGTAAGTGCAATAATTTATTAGTTTAAGTCAGTGGGCTGTTTTTCTGGATATTTTATGCGGGTCTCATTTTCTACCTTGGGGTAGTCTGGAAATTGTAGACACCACTTGTTTGCGAACTTATTGTTCAGGATTCCATATAAACTTTCATTATGAATGTCCATGGGCAGGTGACACTAATTATGTTGATTGCATAAGGGAAAATCGATGACATACTAAATCACCTTTTTTGTTTATTATATAGTATATTTTCTTAAAAATATATTTTAATATTTATGCAATCAATCCCTCTCATCGCTAATAATATTCTTTATAATTTTTGTTAGTTTCCTATCTATTTGTTTATATGTCTGTATATATCATGTCAAATGCATCTAAGTAAATTCTCTTATCAGGCATATGGAGATTTCTCGTTCAATTTTATAAACAAATGATTTTCTATCGTTATTCCTCATCATATTAAAGTGAATAAGGATCAGTTTTAAACTAAGTTTAATAATATAATAGTTTAAAAATGATCCTAATAACTTATCTGTTCCTTCATTATCCTTCCTTATCGTCCGTCCCCATATCGCTTTATACGCTCTGCACAGTATGTTACGTCGTATCATTTCTTTTTGTAGTTCTATTCAAAATGGTACCTTCAAAGATCACCTGTCCGAGTCGAAGCGACGATATCGGAAATCTGTCCATCAACTCAAACACCAAAAGATATGGTTTTTTCCCAAACGAGTCACAAGACTCAAAGTATTTTGAAAGTGGTAGACATAGATCGTTTAAAGGCAAACAAGGAACAACTGACAAACGGCCAGATCGGAGTGATTGCCGGCGGAAATTCGGAATTGATGCCAACACCTTCAACGGCCGCAGCCAGCTTCTCAGAGGTAAGAACCGCGTCGACCCGTGAGTACACATAAAGTGAGCTTTTTATTAGAAGCGAATATTTTAAGGATACTGAAACACCTTATTTCATCGTAATTTTAAAATAAAACGCCGAAAGATATTTGCACCTAATAACGAGGCACTTTATAATTTTTGATTTATTTTTAATTAACATTAGATACTTTTAGTTTATTTCTAGATTTCGCTTTTGTTTCAGAATTCATATTAACATGTGTTTGTCTGGTTTTCAGGAATTTCTGAAACTGGAGCCTGCTTACGACAACGCCATGTTTCGCGAATCGGATTGCGAGTTCTTCCAAGATCTGGTGCAGTGGTGCTCAGATCCCGTCAAGGACGAACCAGTACGGACCATTGGTGGGTATCGTTAGGAGTTTCATGAAGGCTAGTGGTGAAAACGTCTGCCTTTAATTAATGGTGAAGAATATTAGCGCTAATGAATTTTAATATTTTCTTTTCACAGATTCCAATAAAGTTATTGAAGAAAGGGCACACAACAACGACATATTACACACACCATTCTCACCGCAAGGTTGGGAAACAATCGACGCTAAATCCCCAGAAGCATCGACTGGCATGTACTGCAGCACTCCAAACGACCCACTCTCGCCAATCATGGACGAGTTCGGGCAGTACACCAAACCATTAACTCCTCAGGTTCTTGCCGACACTAACACGTTGCAATTCCAAGAGGAGTTTCTAGATTTCAACAACATGCCAGTGGTGTTTGGGGATCTAGTGTCGGAGAAGCCGGTCGATATGAATCCGGTGCAAAACGCCGGTTTGGTCGGCTGGGATCACACACACAACATGAACACACAATTTACAAATACACAAGACACATTGCCCTTCGAAGAAGATTCAAAATTCGTATCGGTTATACCTAGGGAATTGGAAAGCAACGATGTGATTATAACGGAAGTGATATTCGGGCCCAACATGGGCATGAGTAAAGGGCAGGAGGTCGGTACTACGAGGGGGGAACAACGGCAGGGGCTGACCGTGAACATTCCGGCGCGCGGCACGGGCTGGCCCGCAGACCTCATCAGCACGCCGGACGTTGTCAACTGCGTGGAGCAGCTAGAGAAAGATAACCCACCTCTACTGCCTCTCGTAAGTGAATTGTTTAGGTGGTTATCATAATTTTTATTTTCCTAAGATAAAACTTTAGAGGAACTTGCCTTAGATTAGAATGACATTATATGATTAGAGATGTTGATTCCAAATCTCTAACAGGATAGGTTTTTTGGTATCTTTTTAAATACATATTTACAAAGGGTCTTAAGAAATATATGTGATGTTGTTTAATCTGTAAGCAAAGTGAACGATAATAAAATAGGTAGATATATTATATATCGTCTATGGGCTTAGAAAATAGAGACAGTTTGCATATGCACATATGCAACCATTTAAGGAATGTTGGAGTTTTATGTCATGATTACTAAACAGTTATCTGCTTGTTCACAGTTGACAACAAACGAGTGGCCGGCCGAAGACACCGATGTCATCGCAAACGAAGTGGTCACCAATCAGTCACCACCTGTGGATTACGAGCCGATCACACCAAAAAGCGAATCTCAAGCGGAATCCGAAAATGAGGAACGCTACACAAGGAGAAAACGTCGGTACGACAGCGAAGTATCAGATGAAACTTACACGCCGTACCAGGAAACGACCATACGTAGAAAGTACACAAGAAGAAAGCCAAATGTTCCGATCGAGGATATGATTAAGGAATTGGAAGGCTCGCAACCACTGAAAAAGGCAAAGCGAGGACGTCCACCGAAGAGAAGAGTTAGTACAGTGTCATCGATTTGTAGTGTAGATGAAAACTCTTCGAGCGTTTCCACGCACGAGACAAATTATAGGAAATTAAGAGACAAAAATAACGAGGCATCCAAACGTTCTAGAATGAATAGAAAATTAAAAGAGTTACAAATGGAACAGTTAGCTTTAGAATTAGAAGAGAAAAATAAAAAGTTACAAATTAAAGCGGACATACTCGAAGATATGACGAAGCGGTTGAAAGACGCTTTGATGATGGCGATACTGCAAAATAAATGAACTAGTATAGATATTTTCTTTTGTATATACGGTTCAGTTTCGCTTCGCGTTTTTTTATTCGTTCAGCGTGATTTCTACACACTGTATCAAACGATGACGTATCGCCTGAAAGGCATAGTCAGATTTTTGTGTTACAGTTTGTAGCGGCGTGTCGATTAGTTATCATGGGTTTGGATGCAATCGTTAATAATTAACTGGCATTTTAATAAACACCTTAATGTTTAAGAGAAAAAAAAAGATTTCTTTATCATAGACTTAAGCGTTCATTGTTAATTTACTAGATCATAGTATTGGATTTCACTATTTCGTGTCATGTATCTAAGAAATAGGTATTTAGATTTATTAATTCTATGCTAACGATGTTTTTATGAATTATAAAAGTTATTGTAATGATGCAATCAATAAAAATGTACTTTAATGTTTCTAGATTGATGGTATATTTTGCATGGTATTGAAAATAAGTTTATAGATTGTTTTATGGATTAAACGAGATTTCATATTATAAAATTGTGTTGCTTATTTTAAAACTACATAACTCTTATTTACTTACATATCAACGGATATATATTCCACTTGGTCCTTGGCATCCTGAGATTGGATTCCTTTCGCAATCCGGACAACTGCTCTAACCACTGAGCTACCCATTACCTGATAGGACTGACGATATGTTATTAGAAATTTTTAAAATTATAAATAAAGCCGCTTAAAAATCGCATCTTCCCATATACATGATATATATCAGATTTTTTGATATTTATTATAATTATAGTATTTTTGTAAACCCTTAGGGCGTTTGTGCATTACACTTTTAATAAATCATTAACTTCTGGATTCTTCCCCACTAAATGGAAAGTCGCCCATATCGTACCTATCCACAAGAGTGGCAATAGGACTCAGTGTGCGAACTATAGGCCGATTAGTATATTGTCGTGTTTTGCAAAACTTTTTGAGAGAGTTATATACGACATACTTTATACACATTACAAACCATATATATCGCCTAATCAGCATGGTTTTGTAGCAAATAGATCAATTGCCAGTAATCTGCTGGAGTATAAAGATTACCTTTGTTGTGCATTTGCCAAAAGAGGACAGATAGACTCTATTTATACTGATTTTGCTTTACTTCGATACGGTGAACCACAATATATTGTGTGGTAAGTTGAGAAGCTATGGTATTCATGGTAGTTTGCTTCGTTGGATAGAGTCGTACCTTAACCGAAGAAGTCAACTGGTAGCAATTCGGGGTCACCTTTCCAATCCTATAACGGTCACGTCCGGTGTTCCTCAGAGGTCACACCTTGGACCGCTTTTGTTTGTTGTATTTGATGACCTCAAAATATTTAAAACTGTCAATAATGAGTGTGGTATCATGGAGCTACAACAGAATCTTAACACCCTAGTACAGTGGTGCACTGATAATCGCATGCACATTGATATTGACAAATGCTTTGTGGTATCATTCACAAATAAGATCTACAGGACAGAGCATGAGTATACTCTCTGTGTTCTCCAGGTTCTTCATAAGAGGGAGGTAGTGAGGGATTTGGGCGTGGTCTTTGATTCAAAATTATCTTTCCGTGATCATTACGACTACATTGTAGCTCGAAGCAATCGTATGTTGGGATTTATTTCACGAAGTACTAAAGAATTCAGGAGACCCACTAGTTTATTGTCTTTACAGAGTACTGGTTAGGAGTTTGCTTGAATATTGCAGCGTGGTATGGGCTCCTTTTTACAAAATACATATTGCTAATATTGAGGCCGCGCAGAATAAATTATTTAGAATTCTATGTTACCGTTACGGATACCGCAGAAAACATACAACAATTTATGAAGACAAATTATTTTTTTTCCATATGATGTCTTTGGAGACCAGACGTGGATATTTCGATTTTGTTTGCCTGTTTAAGTTGGTTAACTCCATTATAGATTCTCTGTACTTTTGCACTTTAATATTCGATTTAGGTCCCGTAATCCGAAACCTTTTGTTCTCAAGGTTTGCACCAATAATACATCCTTCTATAACCCGATCGACAGAATGTGTCGCACATTCAACCATATTCTCCAAATGTCATTGTCTAGATATATTCCATCTAAATTTGCAAAAGTTTAAAAGAGTAGTACTGGAAAATATTAGCTGTTTATTTTTTTTTTTTAACTTTCTCGGTGAGACGGGTTATAATGTAGGTAATATAAATTAATTTCCCTAGCTATTTTTTTTTTGAATTTGGATTTTATTTTGTTTATTAATATCAATTTTAATTAATGAATTATTTGGATTTGATCGGATTTTGATTTTGTTGCTATTTATTATGATTATATTATTGTTTTATGTCTAATTCACTCATTACTATAGATTATCCGTTTCTTGATTATTATATAAATAAAAGGTTAATTATGTGTACATAATATTAAGAATTATGGTCCTGTGTAATGTATATATTTACCATTCATATATATATATATATATATATATATATTTATTAAATATATGTCTGTAATTTGTTTTATGTGCCAATAAATAAATAAATAAAATAAATACACTAAATTTTCAGGGCCGGTAGTCCGTTTTATCCGGATGGTTAGCTTGTGCACTTGCCCGTTTTTTCCGGATCGGAGGGGCGCAGTTTAGGGCAGCTCTTTTAGAAGCTTCATGTCACTTACGGTAGGCACGATGAGATTTTTGAATGTCGGCAATTGCTTGCTTTATTACTTTAAGTGCGAAGACGTAGATGAAATAAAAATAATAAAAAAGCACTCTCAATTTATTCATTAGTTACGGTTATAAGTTATTTTGATTAAATTGGTAATGAGAATTATTTCGATGTTAGGTATCATGAGCTAGAGACAAACTTATACCCTTACTAATTTAGGAACAGCATTATTCACATACAATAGCAAAAAATGTCTGTGACATTCGAATAAAATCATTGATGATTTTCTCGTACTTGTTTCAATTTATAATATTTAATAATAACAATAATATTTAATTTATAGGTTTTAAATGTCATGATTTAACTATCATCATAGTAAGATCAGTTGGCTGCATTATGTATAGGTATATATTTTGCCCGGGATTTTAGTTTCTTTTAGCAGAATTATTTTTCTTTTAGAATACTTCTGATATCAAATATTTATTTATACTTATCAATTGCCTAAAAAAAATTTTGAAAATGACAAATTTAAATGCAAACTTTCATCCCCTATTTCCTCCTTTTTTTCCGATAAAAGGTAGCTTATGTCCTGTCTCAAGGTTAAGTCTGTTTCTGTATCAAATTTAATTATGATGGGTTCAGTTGTTTAGGCGTGGAAGCGTAACAACACTTATTTGTCTTACGTTATCGATACTTTTGATTCGATGTTGTTTTGGGATCAATACTTTAAATACGATTCTAGAATCTAGCAAAGTATCCATACTAGACCATACGCTGATCAAATTACAATTATATCGAGTTTGACTCCGCCAAGGCATATGCAGTGATATTTACCAACTATATTAAATAATCATATAAAATATCGAATCTTATACTCTACAATGAATATCGATTATCAATATATCGGAAATGAACATATCGCCGAAATAAATATCGAAATATCTCTACTCTGCAGGTTCATGAATAAATTTACCGGATCGCGGACATAACAGTGCACAAGCGTAAACACGTTTTTCATTGCCGCCATCTCGGACCGGAAAACTATTCAGTCATATTCCGGACAGTGCGGTTCCTACAAGCAGCATTATTTATGCAAAAATTGATAGTAGTCCCATCTGCTGCTGAGTCATCTCGGAATGCCAGGGAAAAAGATTTTTGATTTTTGAGCATTTTCCATTAAGAATAAATATATAATTATGGAGCATTTGACGTGTGAGGTTTATTTTCAAATCAAAATGCTGCCAGGTTGGTAGCGCGTTGTTTAATTATCAGTTTAGTCCAGGCGGTGGTAACTTCATACAAGTGTAAAATTATACCTACAGGGGCAAAATTTAATGATGAAAGACCCAAATAATCTTTCATAATACCATATTTTTAACTAGCAACTAAGATTTAATAGTATGGCAATGAAATGAATCTGCAGTGTTGCCTCATGTTATGACTTTCACACATTTTAGTAGTCTCTGATAGTTATCTTTTACCAAAAAATTATATTTATCCAAGTTTTTAATATTCAGAAATACATTTAATTAAGTCAAGTAAATAATACAGTTGACTTTTATTTTTTTTGAGTTGCAATCGTATTAATTTTATTAATTGGAAGGCATCATTGTTAAAATTAGTAGTAGTTATTTTTGTAACTGATTTGGTGTCATAGACATAAAAGAAGAGGACCGGCCTAACCTACGAAAAAAGCGTATATGCCTAAACTTCAAATGCAAATTCTTCGATGGCGGACTGTCATAGGGCGCAACCCATGATATCGATATTTGTATCGACATTGAAGTCATATTAAATAAAAGTTAGTATTTCGTGAAACTGCTACAATACTACTACTTATTAAATAATGTAATATAATTTTCATTGTTAGTCGCATGGCTAAACTATTACCTATTACACTTCTATTCATTTCACACTTACGTACCAATCCTATTTATGATTATTATTAATTAAATTGATAAATTCACGCCAGTTTTAAGAAAATAATATTTTGGTAAAAAATGCCGTGAATTTATCAATTATTTATAAATCATTAAGCAATCTTTTGCTCGTATTTTGTTGGACATCCAAAATTTCTTGCGTTCTTTGTTCTTGCGACTCCGTTGCGTCAGTATAGTGAATATAACCTATGTTACCAGTGTATGATGGCGCTTCCCATGGGTAAAAGATTATTCGTATTCCAAATTTCATCAAAATCCGTTCAGTAGTTTTTACATGAGAGTAACCAACATCCATCCTAACAAACTTTCACATTTATATTATTTAATAATATGATTGTACCTCGATAAATATGACGCAACTGGCACCTGTTTCTTTTTCCTCTAATATAGCCAATTTTACATAGTTTTAAGAACTATAGTACCAAAATATATATCTTAAAAGTTTTACAATAATATCAATCGTGTTTTATAATTATTTCCATATATATTGTCAAGTTGACATTTTGCAATTATAATTAAATAGTTTTTTTAACATAAGTTTAATTTTGCATCCACGGGAAGTGTGACTACTGTCCAAGATAACTACCACGGTAACTATAATAAGCTTTTAATGAGTCGATTGACGAATGAATTATTATGCTTTTTTTTGTCTGTTATATATTTTTTATTGTTTTGGTGGAAAGTGACATTTTGGTCCAATGAAGTCATTTTTTATTTTTCAGTACGAAATTAAACAGGGTGCAAAAGCAGCCCTTGCAGTTTCTTACCGGTTCCTTTCTTACAGTTTCTTCTTTTCTCGGTACAAGGTTTCCCGTAATAGATTGCTGAACTATAAGCACAGAGTTTCGACTTTCTTATATGCTTGTAACTAGTAAGCCAACTTGTCTATAAATTTATTCAATAAATTGTTTTGACTGAATAAATTTCGCTTCCTCCTCATTAAGTGAGATACCGTGCGTACTGTGTCACAATTTTAGTCCAGAACATCTTGTTTAGTAGCAAACATAGAAAACTTGAAACACCTACATAATCTTTGTATTATATTATTGGTAAAAGAACATAAAAATACTGTAAACTTTGATGAATAAACAAGAGAAAATAAAGAAAACAAAGTTGGTGATGAAAAAATGATATAATTTATTAAAGAAGTAACAATTGGCATTTTATTTAAAAATTTGGTTAGCAAGAAGAAAACAGCCGATTAATCAATGGGCAAGCATACAAATATTTTCTCAGCACTAAAACAGTCTGCAATTCATGTTCTGTGAACAATCATGATAACGGTCAGCAATTTAAATACAAAAAGGTAGCGTATTTTATGATGCATCAGCAAAATAAACATCCACGCCGCAAAATAATTATTTGGGTATTAAGATTATACTATTGAACAGCAAAGAAAACCTTTAACTATGCCTTTAATTTGATAAGTGTGCATATTTTAATTTTTATTAAAATTATTTAACTCATTTTATTGTATATTTTACTGGGAGTATATTATGATCAGAATTTTATATTTTAATATTATTATATATTGCATTCTGATTTTTTTCAATTAAAATAGTCGTCATATGACCGCAAGACTAAAATAAGGTACATTTATAGAATAACAAAATGACTATATAAAAAACTAAATAAATAAATCAGTAAAATCAAATGAAAATTAACTAAGTGTAATAGACATTTTTTTTAAATAAGTTAAAAGCAATTGTCAAAAATTCTTACCAGAGTATTTGATTGGCAATGCATCATCTCGTAATTTTATTATATTTAAAGTTCGATTCAAACAACTTTCCCTAAAATGAAGTGAGCAGATAAAAGTAACTTTTTCATTACATTTAATATTTTCTGCTTCTATGTAACTCGGCCATTTTCCTCTTTTGTTTCATCTTTTGGTAATCTAAAATAATTAATATATTTTTAAATATTAAAATTATCGATATAAACCATATGTTAAAGTAACAACACTAGCCATGTAAACAATATTATTTACGGACCGAAATATTATAAAAATATAAACGAAAAGAGCAATATAGCATAAATAGAACACGCCAAAATACGATATGTATCGATTTATACACGCAATCATTTTCAGAATAACTTACTTACGTTTTAAATACTGTTATTCCAAGAAAGTGTTTAACTTACCGGTGAAACGTAATATTGCTCGGTTTGCGGGATATTGATGACGCACAACCAATTATACAGCACCTAGGCATTGTTTTGCATAAATAATTTACAATTTTCTGCCATGAAAGTTATATAAATTAAAGTTATAAATGAAAATAACCACAAAACTTATAACACTGACAGCTGAACTACTTCCGAGAATACGCACAGCAAATTTGCAAATGGCTGACAGGTGGTACGATAGCTATATCTCATGACGTCACGTAAAAAATTTTGAACTGTCACACTAGTGTTATCTTTGTTTACTAAAGAAACTTCTTATTGGTTAAAAAAAGACAACATGATGTTTTCGATGTCAACTTCAGATTGCATGATATTTATATAACCATAGAAAATATTTCCACTCTACCTTATCTCTATGTTTGGTGTCGATAATGGCAATTTGTTTTGTTGTTGTTCCCGCTTGTTCCGTGCGATTTACTCACAATTACTTATTTCCTGCATTTTCTTATTATTATAACGTCGAGATGAGCTTTTGTTCCTCCTTTTAATGTGTTTAGAAAGTGGACTCATAGTTATTTGTGAAATTTGAGATAGTAACTATTTTCTGTTTTTGTGGTTGTTGAAAATATGGCTGATACAGAAAACAGAAGAAAATGTTTTAAGTGTGGACGTTCGCCAACCCAGCATAATGTAAAGCTCTTTCGTTTTCCGAAGCCGGCTAAAAGGAATCTTATACGGTACTTGCTTTAATCTTATTTTTATAGATTTCCAAACTAATGAATAGTACGTGAAGTTCCGCTACATTTTAACAAGAGAATATTCCCATTATGTAATGCTAGTGTTAATTATTTTATTAGCTAGAATTGACATAAATACTTGTATTTAGTTGTAAAAAATATGACTTGAGTCAAAGAGCTTCAGTATTAGGTATGTCATGCTAATCTGTATGAAAGAATTTTATGTTATTTCTGATAAAAGTGATGATGTAGGTGAAGGTGGTTAAGGATGTTTATCGATTACGAACTATAAATTAAATTATTTTGTTATAAAATTCTTAGCAAAATGTAGCTCTATCTCTTGTACTATAAGGATATAACATTCTTAATTTCGTTGTATTTGTTTTCAGATATGAATCGTGGGCTAAATATATTTTCCATAAAGGACGGAATTCATCAACAGAATTCCAAATGAAATTGTACAGTGAACATAGAATGCTGAGTCAAAATCATTTTCTTGATAATTTGGTGCACACATTAAAATAATTCTGAAGGCTTGTAAATCAATGTTGAATTAAAGTTAAAAACCAAACAGTATGTTGAAAATTCACTTAATTTTGTAATAAAGCAGTATGTTAAAATAATAATAAAATAGAGTGTATTATTATTATCTGCTTGTATTATATTCCCTTTTTGAAGTAGTCCCTATATTTCACCTAGATTAACTACCAAATTACTAAAACCTGTGTTCCCTGTGTATGTTTTTCGTTTGTGGAATTTGTTTATGTTATGGATTTCGTATACGAAAAATATTCACAGAAAACATTGGTTTTAGTAATTTGGTAGTTAATATGAAACCAAAGTATAAAAGTAAGTATTTAAACTTCCCGTCATACTACTTGTTTCGGAGGGCTGACTATAGGTGGAGCTAGTTTCTATGGATAATATTTTTCTATGAAGTTGGCATTCTTCTCGTAGAGTATTATTGTTCTGTGGTTTAGTCTTAGCAGCATCACAGCTAGAACTCTGTACAGTACAGAGTACAGACTGTACTTATTCAAAAACACTTTCCTCAAACGGCACTTTTCTTTCTCGGGTGCGCCTATAGATATTTCACTCGCGACTATATAGCTATAAGAACACTAAGTCAAATGTATTTTTTAAAATAATTTAAACGTTACCATAACGTGTGTTGTCCAACAAGGGTCCGAAACGTTAATAAAACTAAATACAAACGCGATGAAATCCTATGAAAGGTGTTTCATTTATGGATAGTGCGCGTGAAAATATATGAAATCAATATACATACCTATAGTAGGTATTATTTCTACTTTAGTCTTCACCCATATTATTTCTAGAAGTATACTACTTAGGTCATTTATCGCCTCTATGCCCAAACTAATACGTAAGGGACTAAAAAATATAAGTTTTTTGGATTCCAATACCTATAATCACTAGCCGTGGCGCTGCCCGACTGACGTCAGCCCAGCAGCGCCGCAAGACTCTTTTGTCTCCGAAATTACGTAACTTATTGTCTCTTATTTATCAATCCGATACATATAGGGATAATCAATTTGTAACGGATTGATAAATAAGGGACTAGTTGGATCATGAATTTATTTAAAACTAGTCATTTTTAAAACGAGAACCTTATTACTTCGCCATCTGTCTTCAGGTTGTATTTTCACAGATAATGCATTTCTGTTACTGCTATAACAACAAATACAAAAAAATATAATCAAAAAGTATTTACTTCAGTCATTTATCGTCAATCGTCCGCGACTGATAAATAAGATAGTGAGGCCTCAAACTGGACACCAGCGGGCGCGGTGACGGTTCATACAAACATAAGAATTTCTATCAAGTACACTTTTGGTCTATTCTACAAGATGTTTGTAGAAAGTATATGAAACACCAGTAGCTCGGTGGCGTACAGGATAAGCACCGCGGCCCGCGATCGTTGTTGTTAAGCAACTTTCGCAAGGATCGGTCATGGGATGGGTGACCAAAAATTATTATCTCGAGCTACTTCGTGCTTCGGAAAGCACGTTAAACCGTTTATGCTGCATTTGCAGTTGTTTATATCCTCTAATCCGCCTAAACAAGGAAGGCCTAATCCCCTGCAGTGGGGACGTCAAAAAAGGCTGATGATGATGATAAGAAACACATGTCATGGTTGTAAAAAGAGTAATTTATTTATAATTAAAATTAGAACAAGGTGTACCAAACAAAAGAATCTTGATAAAAATTATACCAGTCATATAAACAGTTTCCACAATAATATAGGTACCTATTCTTGTGACTCACTCCTGTTTCTGCAGGTGACTTTAGGATTTCCATCAATTAATTATTTGATTACAATTAAGGCATTCATTCATACATGTTGTAGATGCATACTTGCAAGCTAAAGTGCCTTAATATCGTAGACAATTATAACAATTTTGAATGTAAAGATAAATAATACAATTAACATTCTAACAATAATCTAAATTGACTAATATTTAACACAAGATATAAAATAAAGACATTAAGATTCCCTATGGTGGTAAAGTATAATAGAATTAAGAAATATTCACAAAAAATATAATGGAGAGCAGCACCTGTACCAATAATCATTATGAAATGGAATTACAAAGAACTATATTTGCATTTATTGCTCTCGGCCAATATTTATTTTGCAACCGTACACACAAACACTATTACAAACCCATAGAAAAATTTACACCAATCAGTACTTTATGGTCACAAATTTGAGCCCCAGCCTTCACTGTCAACTATAAGTTAGCGAAATTTTTTAATTTAACAATGAGAACATTTATCAAATATAATCAAAATAAGAATAAAAAGAATACAATTTTTTTTATATAGCTAATTTCAGTTTTAGAGGTTTCATGGAATTTCAGTTGTTCATATCAGCGACAGTAAAGACTGGGGCCGGCCTCGAAGCAGTGTGAGCATACGACCCCTAATATACACGTTTATCCTCACCGCACTAACTCTAATCGAGTCCCTATATCATAGCACAATTAAAACTGTTCCGAGTGCTCCACGAGTCCCGCACGTGACACTTGATACTCCTCAATTTACACTTTACACAAAGTCTCAAGTAAAAACTGCAAAGTTTACGGCACGCAGTGACCACGTTAATCGGAACCGTCGTCGTCGGCGGCTTCTAGGTAGCTGAATTTGTTTGATGCTACAAAGATCTGAAAAGAATTTAAATACTATTATTAACGGATGAATTTTTTTAAAATTTTCGGACCTTTCTGACGTATTATCCACATAATTTGATTTTTGTTATAAATCCGCAATTTTGATCGGCAGAGCGATTCCGTAAAAATCCGAACCGAATTCACTTCGAAAGCGACATCTGCTTAACATTGAATTGGTACTAACTAAATTGGTCATGAAATTTTGTATTGTAATTTTTATACAAAAAATGGCATCAATAGAATTTCTATACTAATATAAGTGAAGTGAATTTGGACATGAGTGACTAAATGAATCCGAATTTAGGATTCGAATCTTTCCAGGCTCTCTATATTTGGCGGCTAAAAGTTAATAATAATAATTTATTGTATAATATAATATAACAGTGTATTTAATGGTAATGTTAGCGTATAATATAGCTTCGTTAACAATGAATAAGTAAAATATATTTACCGGTTTCTCTTGTTCCTTCAACTTGGGCATAGGCTTCTCTTCTGGCTGGTCGTGTCTATCTCGCGAGCGGCTCTGTCTCGGGCGGCCGTTTCGTTCGTCGCGCGTTTTATTTGCGGGCTCGTCATCTCTATCCGCGGAGCCGTTCCGCCTCATGTCCTTATCCCTAGAGTCCCGTCTGTCTCTAGAGTCCCGCCTGTCCCCAGAGTACTCGCGTCTCTCCCTGTCGTCGTAGTCGCCTTCGTCCCTGTTATCACGTCTGTCCCGCTCGTCTCTGCTGTCCCGCATATCCCTGTCGTCTTTGTAATCGCGCCTGTCTCTCTCGCTGCGTCTTTCTCTGTCATCTTTAGAATAATCGCGCCGGTCTCTATCGTCTTTAGAATAATCGCGACGGTCTCTGTCGTCTTTAGAGTAATCGCGGCGATCGTCGCGCCTGTCCTTGTCGTCCTTGGAATAATCGCGCCGATCTCTGTTGTAGCTGCGCGAGTCTCTACCGCGATCGTCTGGGAATTATAAACGACGGATGTAGTATAGTTGTACCAGAAACTGATGGCACAAGATAAAAAGAATAAATATCGATTTTCATATGGCGATAAAAATTGACAACTGTTGACACCTGTGAGTAGTGTAAATTTTTATGAATACTTAGGAAAATATTAATTTACTTTGTGAAAATGCCCAAAAAGCAACATATTTCTCAGGCGACAAATATTGTTTTTAGTAAAATTTGTGAAAAAAAGAATTGACCGGTAACTAGCAACAATTAAGTTTTGATACTTATTTTTTCTAAAGAATCAATTAGTAAATATTCGTTTGTGTGTAGACTACTACAATAAAACGAGTTATTAGAGAAGAAAAAAGGTATTGCAAAAATAAGAAATAAATTGAAAAGCGAATTTAATTCAGATGTGTAAGTGTAACAGACAGTTGCATTATTAGTAAGAGATTAGTAATAAACAAATACATAAAGCATAGCTTCTTTTATTTATTCGTGTTAGATTCCAGGACAAGTAAAATATTATTGGGTTTTTCAGTCGGGACCGGTGCTGTTAATTTATAATATTAGATGTTACTAGAGAGAGTGTACAGGTGTTTGTTTGTGTACTATATTATGTCCCAAGCACTTAGCTAATCTACGTTAAAATTTGCCGCGATCGGGCAGTTAGTTATTGAAAGTTTTAATTATATTAATATATAACAAGTATCAAGACGTTTTTAACTATTTTCCCTAATGTTACCTTCTACAAATTAAAATTTTCCGATTTCATATCAGATTCTGGTACACCTATTATATCAATACATGTCGATAATGAAAATTAAAGTCTAATTCGTATTTAGAGATGAACTTACCACGTCTCGCGCCGCCACGACGGTCACCGGAATGATCGTTCTAAGAAAAGAAAAGAATTACATATATTCGGAGATCTTTAATGCCTTCAAAATATTTATTTACTATATAAGACATTAGATAGGTTCCTGAAATACTATAAAAAATAAATATAGTACAGCAAAATTATGTATTATTCGGTAATTAATAATCATAATGTATTTAACAATACTTTGTAGTTGACTTGAATGCACTTGCCATTAGAGAACAGTTTCAAATACTAATTTAAGTGTCACTTACCCTACGACCCCAACGTTCCTTCTCTTCAGCAGCACGTCTAGATTCTTCCTCCTGTTTTAGAAGACGCTCCTCTATTTCACGTTCCCTGATTAGAAAAAAATAATTGAATTCGACAAATTGGCTTTTACTTTAGATTCAGACAAACATTATAGTCATACAAATACATTTAAATTGATAAAGATTGAAATGTTGGTATAGAGCGACCGAATCTCGCATAATTAGGCAGGAGCCGGTGTCTAGTTAACCTTTATTATAGCACATTATCATGATAATGATCTAACACTCACGTCAATATAGACGAGACTGTTATTTGATGTGCAACTGTTTATTTAGTAAAAAAAAGTTTATTACTTTGATTCCTGGTCTGGTCAATATTTCCCTGATACAAGTGCTTCAGCTGCTTAATTTTGAATCTAAGCATTGCCATGTTACTTTGTATTTATTTTTTATTAGATTATAGACTTAGGAAGGTATAGACTCCCATAATACAGTTCAAACCAGCATGGAAGGCAAACATAATGAATATTGTACAATTATGTATTGGAAATAATAATCCCTGACATAATTATAATATAATTTAATTTTCTATTTCATATACTTAATATGATTTGTAATCTGATTGTTTTTAATAATCGTACACCAATTAACTTATTATTATTTTAATGACATGAATTGAGTTACTCCTCATTTCAATAGTACCACATCTTTTATAATCATGATTTATCTACTGTGATTTTTTTATTTCCATCATATAACACCTATATTTAGGATTACCTACATTTGTAATAATTACTTAAAAATGAGCAAACTGTGTTTAAATCAATGCTGATCTAGTTTTTGTTAATAAATTAATAAAGTACTTACTTGGCTGCAGTGTCGACAGGTTTGGCAGCACCAAACACTTTCTCAGCGGGCACTGGTTTGGGCGCGGGCGGTGCGGGTATCGAAGCGGTCTGCGCTAGGTCTAGCGGCGCGCCGTCCGCGGGCTTGGTGGGCACCTCCGTCTCGCGAGGCACAGTGCGAGGCAACAGATTCAACTTGGGACGTTCGCGCGGCTTCGCATCTACACAACCATTAACATTTGTATACAAGGGATATGCCAGCCGATGGCCTGAGAAGATGCCAGTTGATTATGGAGAATGAGCCACAGTACAATCCTAATTGTAAAGTAAACAATCTCTTGATTGTAGAATAAATAAAACTTTATGACGTTCATGAGGAAAATAGAATAATTTGGGGCTTAAATGTACACCAGTCCCCCTTCTCCCGCTTTGACAATAGCATAGAGCAGAGTGAATAAGATTGGTTCATTCGAGTTTCGAGATACGGGAATGATCATTCAGTCATACACTTAGGACTTTGGTTGCTTTAGATACCTTTTTTGGAATCTCTTGGCCTCTTTGTTTGTATAGCGAAAAAAGACCTTCAGTATACCGCATAACTACACTCACATCCTATTTAAAGTGAAATAAAGGAAAGTAATATACTCTATTCATTATATATAACATTAGAAAAAAGAGGATCACAGAAGCAGCAGTGCAGAACATTTTGTTCTCAAGATAAATTAAAAAATATATATATAATAGTTTTGTTGAAACTTTGAATGTTGGGTAGTCTGAACAAGTTGGGCAATTTTCCATTTTCTCGGGGCTGAGATGAAGCTAGCATTTTTTACTCCCAAGCCAATATGGAACTATATCTATCTGTTGTTTTTATAAATTCTAATTGTAAGTGTATATAATTAGAATAGAATTTAGTTATATATATGCCCAGGAAAGAAAGGAAAACAAAATGATTTTTTTATTATTACTTTTGATCAAGACAATAGAAAAACTCTTGAAATATCAAAGGTAATTGTTGGAGACCATTCGGACCTGCACCGGAATCATCCATATTTAGCAAAAATTTACAACAAAAACAAAACTATAAGAAAACAAGAATAAAAACTCAATCACGGGAAACGGCAAATTAACAAGAAACACAGTACCATTCACAATGAATGACAATCCCAGATTACGTACGTATTTTGACTATTATGAATACATCATAATCTGACAAAATTAAAAAAACTATACCGCCGAAACGTTTGAAGGGATTAGGCAACGTTTTAAATTTGGTAGAATTATAGTGACATGAGAATCGTGCCAAAACTATCGAACCCTGCTTCTTTTAGGTTCTTTAAGATGAACACTTTTTATTGAAATAGTTATGAAATCCTTTAAGTTAGTAAAATATTCATAATTTTGTTTAATAGATAGCTTAAAAGACAACGGTTAAATATAGCAACTGGTATTTAAGTGGATATGTAGCAAATTAGCCATTAGTCTTAAGAATAATATGATTATTGATATTTAGTCACAAAGTATACCATAAAAAGAACCTTATTTAACTAAAGAATGGAGCATACTTAAATAAATGTTATTGTTGTAACTAGGGGTGGTCCCAACTTTGCAATCATATTTTTAAATGTGGGTCCCGAACTTTTTTGAAAATATTCTATTGCATAAATATTTATTGTATTGTTATATTGGAGGATGAATTTGGAAAGGAATTTTTCAAATAAGTCTAGTAGTTTCGGAGCCTATTTCATATTTATAATACTAGCATAGACTACACTTCTAACAATCAAATGAGTAAATATATCCCCCATGATCTAGGGGGAAATAACATTTTTTTTACGATAAAAGTAAATGTTGATTTTTTCGAGCTACCCAATTATCGCTACACAAAAAATATATCATATATGAATGAAAGACAAAACAAACATTCTTATATATAATATTAGTTTCGATTAAAATGATAATAACGAATCTGAAGTGAGAAAAATGATAAGGAGTATGAATAAAACAAATGATAAATTTATGTAACATTGGGTAATAAATAGATTAATTTTACATCACAAACCTTCTTTTGGAGGATCACGGTCACGGTCACCGAAGTTTCTACCGCCGAAACCTCTGCCCTCACGATTACTGTAAAGTAATTGACGTATTAAATAATTATCGAAATGAAAACACTATTTCATAATAATAAATAGTTATAACAATAACTTACCCAAAGCCTCCTCCCTCACGATCTGCCGCACGGAATCCGTCGCGACCACCGAAGCCGCTGCGTTCTCTACCACTACAAAATTCACATAAAAATTTAATGTTCAGCAAATTTATATTACTGATTTACTCTGTTAGCGAAGGTTATTGGATCGAGCGGGGAAAATTTCGAAATGTAATTTTAATTTTCTTAACATCATATTCATGATTCTGTCTTTCAAAGGGACTGACAGATACTACCTCTATTTCGTCTTAAGTCATAAATTATCGTGAATGACTTTCATCAGGTTTGTTAGCGTTTGGAATAGCTGAAATTTTGTTGACGATACTTTGTGGTTTCTATTCTCAATTAAAAGTTAATTTGATATTTTTGAATTTCTAAAAAACTTTGCAATGCCTCGCTTGGAGAAAAGTGTTGTTTTACTCAATTTTTATTTTATTTCCCTTTAACACGTTAAACGCCATTGTAAAAATGGCAAAAATACTTTTAACATCAGTGAACATTAAAACGTATTTATTTTTTTATTTGGGATTGAAATTTTCCAGGAAAATAAAGAAAATTTATATGGTCACCAGTGACCAACCCTGGCGCTGTGGGATAAAAAACACATTTACTATTCGCGTGCGCCGCGAGGTCATGATATAGGTCAAGCATCGGTCATTCTAGTACTACAAACGTATGAAAAAATCACGCGCCGGCGCTTTAATGCTTTTTAAACACATCTCTAAAGTGAGGTCACTGGTGACCTACAAGGCGTTTAACGTGTTAAGAATCTTTCTTGAGACTTCCATTAATATGTTTATAAAAAAATATATATGACTGATTAAGAAGTAAAAATTAAGGTTGAACAAAAAAGTACAATGAATGAAACAATATATTTGTTATATCATACCGGTCTTCTCCGAAGCGATCGCGTCCGAAGGAATCTCGGCCGCCGTAAGGCGTCCGTGCCGGTTCTGCTGCAGGACGGTCCCCGTCACGCCACCCTCCAGGACGATTATCAGCACTCGCTATTAAGGATAACAATTTAAACACACTGGAAATACACAGAAAATTGATTTTACTTTGGAATATTATTTTGATCTCACTGGGATTACGAATATGGTATTTAAGATTTGTTAGTTACAAACATTAAATTTTGTTGACATTGATTTGGTGAAATGTCAACAAAAGACGTCTTGAATTGGTTATAGTAAAAAACTTATTTGAGTATAAATAAAACATTTAAATTTGACTCCTGTGAGCTGGGTTTACACATTACATAGTCACTCAGGTTAGGATAGCAAGTAGGGCAAGCCAAAGACTAGTCTGAATTGAGTTATGGCTGTGCCATGTCACGGATTGAACTAAAAGTGCTGGTCGCAGGGAATTCCCAAGAGCTCGTAGAGCAGTCTCGTCCTAATGGAGTCCCCGACGAAGCCCTACAGCCCGAGTTTCTGATGCCCGTGCCGTCGCTATAAGCGGCGTCGCCGTTTAGACGATGCGATCGCTATCAAAACGCGAAGTGACCTTTACTCAGACCTTCCCGAGACTTAAGGAGTGACTCAGATAACCAATTTAATGATAATTACACTTAATCCAACTGAGAAAAACACGATTCATGTCAGTTGTCTTCTGCACACGGTTTTAGGATACTTTTAACAGCCTAGACTGTAAAAGATATGAATTTGAATCAATAGATTAGGATGAAAATTTGCGTGATTTTTATCTTTCATAAAAATAATACACAAATTGGTAATCTTCGCACTCTGCTAGTGTGTCCCAAGCGTGACATTAAAGCTTGCCCTTATAGCTTATCAGTCATCATTGTGACGTTAACTTTTTAATGTCTAAATTATACATAGTAATGTGTACGTTAAACTAATTGAAGGAGATAGTCTGGTATTTCTGTCGTGAAAGAATTGAATAACCTGTTACTTTTTTTAAATACACACCACTTCGACATAGGAATACTTATTTCATCATTTGTAATAACAAATATGGCTGTGTATTTGTGAACTGTCACCTTAATATAAAAATTATAATTAAAAGTTTATCTGTTTATCATTTATGAAGATAGTCTGAGACAATGTTACTTACAATCTCTCTCCCTTTCTCTATCCCGCTCCCTCATGTTTTCTCTCTCCATCGGGCGCGGGCGACTTGTATTCTCAGGTTGTACTCTCGGTCCAGACCGCCAGTCTCCCATCGTACGCTCCGGGTCATATTCCCTGCATTATTACAACGGAATAAGAGTTGCACATTGATAGCTTAACTAACAGTCGATAGCTGATATAACTATAGGACCCTGTCTATAAAAGGGTCACTATTAAGGGTTTTTCATTCAAAAGTATTAGTTCATTTGTGCTATTGATACTTATTGTATTAGTTTTCATGATCAAAACTATCACCATGCAATGAATATCTTCATCATCATCATCATCAGCTCATATTCGTCCACTGCTGGACATAGGAATGAATTACCTTAGCAGATCAATGTTGACCATAAGACTTGCATAACATATGCTGGTGTTGTTCTAGAAATTTTTAACTTCTATTTATTAACTGAATGGCAAAAAATGGAACCTTTATAAATATCTTATTCTAAGTTAATCTCTAAACCTATGAGTGGCCAGCTTTTGGTCACTTTACCTAGTTTTGTTGTAACATGACCTATATTATTGTACTTTTTATCTGTTCGCTTTTATATTTTCTATAAATTGTAATAGTTAAGGTAAAGTAGTTATAAGGTACTGGAAAAATAAATGGAAGGTCTATTTTTGCAGTTCTAGAAAAAATATCTTAGTAACTAACTACCCTCAAAATGAAGTTGAAAAAGAGTTGTTTTATTAATCTAATCACCTGTCTCTGTCAGATCGTCCACTGCGGCCCATGCGACGATCAGTCTCTTGTGTCGATACGCAAATTCTTATTCGTCGGCCACTTATTGTCTACAAACAAAAGAACCCTAGTTAAATCCAAGAAAAGATGTTCCTTTACAAAGTGACAATTCTAATAACAATAGCCTGTTTGTTGTATTGTTCACAGATGTATATCCTAAACCCATTTTAAATGTAGGGTTACAAAACTACTTTTGCTGTTCTATTTTATATTTCAAACTTGTTTGTAACATGTTTTAGTTTAAGAAAGAATTTTGTGACATGTATTGTTTATTCAGATTTAATGTTTAACTCACCAGATCTGGCATGTTCATAGCATTTATAAGGCTTTCTCTATCTTCAAAGTCTACATAGCCATAACCTTTGAGACGGTCGCTTTCCCTTGGCAGTCTCAAGCTGATAATCTGTTGACAAAATTGTATATTGACTTTTCTTATTTTCTAATTAAATATGTAAAACACAACAAAACATATAGTAAAAATTATTGTGGATTACATTGTTTAAGAAGTAAACAGAGATACCTATTAAGTTTAAATTTTGTAAAAGCAGATTTTTATCACAGAGCAATTTAAATAGAATATTCAGCCACAACAACCAAAGGCATGAATTACCTCAGCAGATCAATGTTGACCATAAGACTTGCATAACATATGCTGGTGTTGTTCTAGAAGTTTTTAAATTATATTTTTTAACTGAATGGCAAAAAATGGAACCTTTATAAATTTGTAGTGTCTTTCTGTCTGTATGACACATCCACTTTAGGTTAGGAACTAATAAGACTACACAGGTGTAGCTTAGTAGGTAGATGTATTCTCTGGAACCCTTTACAAATTTATTCCAAGATTTTAACAAAGATTTTTTGCAAATAGGTTTAATGATTTATTTTAGATTCTAATTATATTTGTTTTTATGAAACAAATATAACTATCTTTCTCAAAAGACAATCCTCTGAAAGATATATAAGTAATGAGTGACTTATAATTTTATTTATACTTCGCAATACCGCACATTCCCAAAAACTCCAAATATAACTTTGTAAGTCACAAAAACAAGATCATTAACTAATCTGTACTTGCTAAGTACTGTACAGATTATAGCATTACCTTGAGTCCAGCAAATAACTCAGCTATGGCGCTTTCATCTACATCGTAAGGCAAGTTGGAAATGTGAGCGATGTACGGAGGTTTCTTGGGTATGGATTCGTCGTCGACTGCGAGCCCGCCGCGGGCGGCGCGCGATGCCGATGGCAACACCACCGGCGCACGCTGCCTCGCTGCGTACCCATAGCTCTCCTCTGAATTCAGAATTTTTGAGAAAACATTTAATTATGCCATAACATAATCTAAAAATAATATTTACCAGTACCTGTAATTAACAGTTGGCCATAAATTGAACTAATAATGAATCTGCAAATAATATAATGTCTTTTTAATTAAAGAGATAGTTTATTGATAAGTATATTAACTACATAGACATAACTAATAGTTTGCAACAAATGGCTTTTTGATACCAGAATGTTGTATTTCATTATAGACAAATTTGTTGAAATAATTGTTACTATTTTTTTTCTTGTAATTATTTTTTGAATACAACTTGACTTAATTCAAAAATGTATAAAACCAATGACCCTCAGAAAAGTTAAGGAGCAGATCAATGAAAGACTAGTCTGAATTGAGTTATGACCAAAGCCATCTCGTAGATTGTGCTAAAAGAGCTGGTCATGGGAGTTTCCAAAGGTGACAGGTGTCTGCGCCTCCTACCGACTCCAATGAGCCGGTCATCACCAGCTTAACACCACACCTTGATTTCTGGTTCCCCCATCATCCCTGTTAGAGAAGCACCCGTCTAGAGTGTCTTTGGGCACACAATGACCTTTACTCAGACCTTCCCGAGGCGACAGGAGTGACAAGCACTCTGTTAGTATACCCCAAGTACGAGATTAACATTGACCTGCCGTTTCCTTCTTATGTCATCATAGGATCAGCAATAAAATTGAAAAATAAATAAATTGAAAGCTCTGAAAGTCACTTACGCTCTCCATCATCTCCGGTCTCTGCCCAGCTGTTTGTCGTGGGAATTGTAGTCGGTTCTGCAATTATATCTGTGATGTTCGCCTTTATCCATTTTGACTTCTTTGTTTTTTTGCCTGTAAAATCATGTCAATAAAATTACTGAATTTATTACACTCAAAGATCATTATTGAAACCGTTTTCTGACCAGTTTTAGTGGCGGATAATGACGCGGTGACGCATTGTAAGTGAACGACCTACTCCGTTTTAGGAAAGTGGTTATTCGTGTGTTCAGTTAAATTTTTAAGACATCTGCTGCATTCATTTCGATCATTTCTGTTATCCATGATCTATATAAAACATTTATAGATTTTGTATTGTTACATACTTTTGGAAAAATGAGATAGAAAAGTTGAGAAATGTGGCCACGCGGTAAATCCAAACGTCCGCAGAGGTGAATTGATGACACGTTTGCATTATTAGATAACATTTTAATTGGGATATATCAGTTTAAAAATATTACTGAATCATAAACAAATTGAAGTAAATAAATAAAAACGAAAATAAAGCACTGAAAGCGTTAAATTTTGAGATATTTTCACGTGACAAAATTTTAAGAACTAACCTGCTGCGGCCATATTACCAGGCTGGGACTAATGTTGCCATTGATTGTGGCGAGGTTAACTTCTACGTTTACCATAACTAAGAAGGAAAAAAACTACCAAATAATATAGTAATGTAAAATACAGACCTTTCACTAAAAGTCCTGTGTTCTCTTGGTGTACTTTTTAAATTGCTTTATATCTCGCTTTTATTACAGATTATATTTTTTCTAATGAAGAGTTATATATAAAATAATCTAATAAATAATCAAGTATTAAAAAATAATCAAAAAAATGTGTAAATCTAATCTAGATTTGGTTTGTTTCAACGTTATTCCGTAGTGACCTGTAATAAAGGAAACATAATTATACTCGGGTATTCATAATATATATTTACTTCTTTTATTTTTAATCAATTACAAGTTCGCCAATGAAGTTTGACAGCGTTGAGATTGTTGAGAGTTGTTTTAAACAAGATAAAATGCACTATTCTCTTAATATAAAACCATAGATTTTTTACTATGACATGTTTTATAATCGGGGGAAGTTAATAAGTATAAAATAAGTCAAACTAGTGAGCAGTGTCCCGTCCAAATAACGATTTTTTTTAATTATTTCTGTGTATATTCTTAATAAATTCTTAATACTTAAAAAAATCCACCAGGACTAGATACTCTGAGATGGGACTCAAACCCACGACCTTTCGCAATCCGAGCGACTGTTCTAACCTCTGAACTACCCATTCGATTCGTTTATCACTAGGGCATGGAGCTGTTTTGTTTAATTTTATTATTATTGAGGCCATGGTCATTGCGTACAGAAAATGTATTTAGATAAAACTCATTATCAAATGTCAAATAATTTTAATGTTATAATATTTACAAAATAATAGCAATAAGTAAGTATTAATAAAATTAGTACCCGAAACCTAACTAGATGGCGCTACGGTACTTTCTTGATTTCTCTATGACAACCCTTCCGGTTTTCTTTCATGTATAAAAGTAAGTTAATTTCAAAACTCAATAAAGAACTCATATTCTATTTGTACTTTTTCATATTTGTATTGATATCTGAGTTTCGAACTTGGCAATTTAAGTTTTTTAATATGTTAGTTAGAAGGAACGGAAATGATTATCTGTGGTCCATTCGTTTCCTGCAAAAATCGACTTTTGGTAGAGTCGCCATCTAATGAGGTGCTTTTTAGTGCTTTCTTTTTTTTTCTTATAATACTTCCTCATTATTTAAATTTCTACCACTTTGTATTATTTTTTTTGTACTAGCAATAAATTATAAATTACTAGGACCACAAACAATATTACTATCTGATGCACGGGTGTATATTATCAGGATATTATTTCATTGTCATTTTTACATGTAGAAATTATTTCATCGAAACACGCAGAATAAAAGAAGAAGAAGATTATCTGGACTATTCAGAAACGATAACTCTGGAAAATTGCCATTACGAAAAGGAACTATAAAGAGGAAGTATTTAAAAAATAAAAATTAGTTTTTGAAATCACACTAGATGTCACTCACGATGTTTGGATTTTGTTTATGATTTTCATTCAAATTTTGTTTCTGACGTAACAAAAGTAAATTAAGTATCGAAAATTAATAAATATGACATCGTTTTTTGTTTCTTATAATATCTAACTTTCAAATTGATTTTAATTTATTTTAATCGTAAGGTTAAGTAGTTTATTATGTTACGTGTAAAGGAACGATGTTTGTTGTGTACGTCAACATTAGTGATGAGCCAACTTATTGGTTGCTCGTAACTTTCATCAGAATAGGGTATTTGACACTTTTCTGAAAACTATTATAAATCATTGTTTGCTACATTATAAACACACTGTCATTATATTTCTAATCTTTTGTATTTGTGTTGAAAATAATTGTTAAAATTTAAATAGCCAAAATCGCGCGAAAAACGCTGCTCTATGCTCTATGTAATGTGATCGTGACGTCACAGCCCAGTAAATATGTCAAATCGATAACAACTGTCTTTACAGTAAATTGAAATAATGATCTAGAAGAGAAATTGAAGTCGTAGTGCCTGTTTTTTACGTTTTTTATTTTCCTCTGCTCTGGTTTGTGCGTTGCCACAATGTACTAATACTTCTATAAATAACAAACAAACTTCGAGTCTAGAAGAAAATAGATTCACAATTACAATAGATTAGTAGCTATATAGAGTAGAGATGGGCGGTAAAATTAGGTAAGGATTCGCCTAAGCTATTGAAACTTTTTTATTTCATATCGATAGATTTGAAGGTTTTCTTTTGTTTTATTTTTCTATATCATAAACATTTTACGACTTATTTATATTAGTTGACAGGGCTCGCACTTCACAGCCTTTCGACCTACAGATGGATGAGACATTAGTACGAAATAGATAGAGCAATTTTTATACATGCATGTAGTATATCTGTCCACTAAATGCATGGCACTCAAAGATTAGACATCAGGTTCCGATGATTTTTTTAAATTGGTTTTTAACTTGGAGAGCAGCATATATCATCAAAATCGACTTTGTAATTTTGAATTATTATATTGAAGTTCAAGAAATGAGAAAAACATGTAAGTTGCACTTTTTTATAATGCTGGCGTTTTACTTATTTCTTGGATTTTTCAAAAAGTTTATTGAATGATTCATTCTTTCTGTATTTCTTTTTGGCGATTCTTATCAGCAGAAGCGGCAAAGTATTCTGTTATCTGTAATTTACTATAAAGTACTAGATACCTACAGGCATCAATATTTTAAGTATCTTTCTAACACTACTTTGACATGACAGCTGATGACGTCACAGGCTAGTAATCATAATCGTTATTGGTTGTGACGACCACCAATCATAGGCAGTTTTCGTCATTAAATAAATTCCTAAAAATATTACATTTTCTTTACGTTATTTTACTAAATCTAAACATGTTTTTTCTGCAGATGATAAGAAATAAGCTTTATTAGATTATTATCTACCAGGATGACCACAAAATGCAACTTATTTTCGAAAGTGTCCAATACCCTATTCAGGTTTGGAATGAAGAACAAAAAGCGGAGCGCAGAATTCAGCTTGTATTTGTGTGTCATTATGCATCCACGAAACCAATGATATTAATATAAATATCAAAATCAATTCAGTCTAGCCTGTTACATAGTACTTGTGACAGTCGAAAACTTTGACAATGGTTCGCAAAACTAAGGCGGGAAATTTTGTACTGATAAGAATCGGCAAGAAACTCAGCAAGGGCTGCTTTTTTAATTTCAACTATACTATATTTGAGGGAACGTAACGATTTAACGCACACGACACCATCGCATGACTACTCTAGGTACTTAGTAAACAATATATATTAATAAAACTGATTTCTAGAGTAGGTTGAGTAGGAAGTCAATCTTTTATTAACAATATTATTGTAAAAACCAAAAAGCACATACCCACCGTACGAATTAACTTAACACATGGCTGTCGACATGCAAGATCAGTAGCAATAGTATAATAACTGTTATGTCTTTGTGTTTTGAAATTTAAAGTTATAATCTTGCTGTTCGTTTAGAACAGACGTTTCTTGTTGATTGCTGAATGTTTATTAAGATGATTTAAATATGAATATAAGATTTAATAACTGGTCATAGTTTTTTAAAGTCTTAATTTCGAAAGCAAAAGTTATTTGCACGTTTCACTTAGCACCAACGTTATTTTAGCCAGAAGTCATGTTATTTTATACGAATACCTAATATATTTGATATATATCGGGTATGTATATAGATTCAAAAGTCATTAAAACGATATAATTATCGTTTTAATGACTTTTGTTACTGATTAATAAACCTTATTCATTTATTCAACATACATAATATAATAATATTATTGAGACTTGATGTAGTATTGTTGTTGTAAGTTCAACAAACAACTAATAGCAATAAAACTAACTTACCTAGTTGTTATTATTTTCAGAACTTTTGTTAAATATTACAATAAAAAATTCTTAGTCGTATTACAAGTATTTCATTTATAAAAACTATTTGGCGGTAATATTCAGTAATATTATTGTATACCGTAGCTAAATGCCACTTTTAATTATAACACAGCATTAATTCAATTGATTTCCATTAATTAAAAAAAAAACCTCTGTGCTCACTTCAATTATGTTAGTTTCCATTTTCGTCTATACAAATAAAAATTATTTGTATTAATTGAGTTGCGTTTGCATAACTCGAACTAATTATATTTCAACTCGATATTAATCCTAGTTATCAGATCCATAACAACACTGACAATTCTATTCTCTTTGGTTTAACGTCATGAATTGACGTTTAGATCCAACAATTTGTGCTGCCATCTAGTGACATAAATATTTGTAGTTTCTTTATTTAATTAAAACGAAAGTTCTAAAAAAGCACCTCCGCTAGATGGCGACTCTACATTATATAATAAAAACTGAAATTTGCAAAATTCAAAACTTACATTTCAATACTTATTGAGTTTACATAATGCTAGCAAGGAAGTTGGGTTTGAAATAAATCTGAATAAGACCAAAATAATGACAAATAGTAGCCAGAAACCTATGAAACTTGACCATACCCAACTAGAATATGTGAGTGCCTATACATACTTGGAAAAATGCATTTCATTTAACCCACAAAATAATATGCAGGAGATAGACAGAAGAGTTCAAAAGACCTGGAACAAGTTTTGGAGCTATAAGTAATGAAAAGCAATTTTCTTATGAAACTAAAGAGAAAAATAATGAACTCATGTCTTTTACCCTCTTTGACATATGCTTGTCAAACGTGGAAGTTTACTCAAAAATAAAATAAAAATAACACAAAGGAAGGTCTGCTCTTTGGTTTTGTGTCAGCTACAACCGTTGGAATTATTTTCGAGTTTTTTGCGAATTTATTTATCTTTTTTCGTGCCTGTTGTGCTAGAATATGTGCAAATTTAATTTACTGGTGGTATAGTAATTTAAGGAATCGTAAGAAATCCTTTTTTTTCTATTCTTTGTAGTGTAAATGTCTGACCCTCCGGATCTAGGAGGGGGTGTGAAC